GTACTCGGTTGAGTAAGGTACCGGGTGCCCGTCGCGGCCCATCGGTTTGGGTCGTGACATATGGGATTTTTGTTGTTGCTCCAACCGTTTGATCTTTTGAAGTAGCTGCTAAGTTATTCTACAAGCATGTTGTGAAACACTATGGGGTTCCAAGGGATATTGTGAGTGATCGGAATCCGAGATTTACAAGTCGGTTTTTGACTGATTTGAAATTCTCGACTGCAAATCACCCACATACCAATGTGCAGACCAAACACATCAATCATCTACTTGAAGAGTACTTGAGGCATTATGTGACTGCTAATCAGAGGAATTGGCTTGAGTTACTAGACAATGCGTAGTTTTGTTACAACTTACACAGGTCTTCGGCAACTGAAATGAGTCCTTTTGAGATAGTGTTGGGATAGCCTGACACACCGCTAGAAGTTGTTTAGTTGAAATAAGGGGGCAAGTGTCCTGCTGCTTATGGATATGCTCGCGACAAGCATGAGTTGTTGGGCGAGGCGTGATACAACTTAAGAAGAGCGGCTAAAAGTATTAAAATGAATACTGACAGAAATAGGCAATTTTTGGAGTTCAATGCTGGTGACAAGGTGTTGCTGAAGCTTGCTCCATAGATTTGGAAGTAAATCAGTAGCAAGACGAGTCATTGTGGGATGATTCTAAAGTATGATGGCCCATTTGAAGTTGTAAATAAAGTGGGTGAAGTGGCCTACCAGCTGAATATGCCGGAACGTCTCAAAATTCACCCACCCAAGTCATGTGAGTTTCTTGAAACGGTTCAATGAAGATGCTGAGGATGCGACAAGGGAGGTGCCAAATCGTGCTCCTCCAGTAAAGCGTAAGCAATTTGAGGAGACTATTGAGATGATTTTGGATCATCGTACACTGGGTCAAAGCAAACATAACAGGCAGATAGAGTTGTTGGTTCAATGGACAGGAAAGCAGGAGTATGATGCAACTTGAGAAAACGGACCATCTCTATGGCAATTTCAGGATCAAATCAAGGTGTATCTGGATTCTGCCTTGTCGAGAGCGACGAGCTCATTTGGTAAGGAACATTTGTTAGCCCCTTGGCTTGATTGGTTGAATATGGCATGGGCGTGACGAGGAATTTACATGATGGACCTCAACATAGTCCCGTGATGACTGTGGCATCATACTGACAAGACTTTCTAACATGGGTAGGTATTGATGGGTATGGATAGGGGCACGATGGCATGTGGTTTAGGTGCTAAGGCATGGAAAGCCTATGACATTGGTGTGGCCATGGCATAGCAAAGACAACGGGCAGCAAAATCATAGCAAGGGTTAGAAAAACTAAGGCAAGCTAAGGTAGGGAGTGACAAGGCAGATGGGCGCGGGCAAGGCAGTGTCAGGGGCGAGTTGGGCATGTGGCATTGGCAGACATGCGTGCAAGGCATATTGCACATTGGCATGGCGTGAAGGCATGACAAGTAAGGGCTTGTTGGCACCAAAATTTGAAGGTTGCACCCATGTGCCACGCACATGCAAGGCAGTTGGCTAGTTGAGCAGTTTTCTGTTTTTCAGCAAGAGTGGCTATGTGGGGCTTGGGCAGTTGTCTATTTTGAAATTCGAAATTTGAAATTCTTTGCAATTCAGGATTCAACTGCTAGATTAGCAAGGCTGTGAGACAAAAAAGCATTGCCTATATATGTATAGGATAGGCAGACTTGTCAAGGTAGAGTGTTGGTTGTCTTTGGCTATCTTTTGTAAGGCTTTTGTATGTGTTTCTTTATAGCACTAGTTTAATACAAGTTGGGAAGTGATTCCTGTAACCTGTGTGCCTTGCATGATTTTTGTTGTCTTTCATATTCTAAGTATCAAATCAAAACATGAGGAAAAAAGGGGGAGAGGGCTGAGTCATTGTTGTATGATTGTCGTGCAGTCTCAAAACGAAAAAAGTTGACCTTGTAACACTAAATAAAGTAAAAAAATTCTTTTTCCGGTAAATGTCAATCCGCAGTTGATATCGGACATGATTTGCGCCATAATATCCGGTTGAGGGCGAATATTTCGGCTTCCTACTTGCCATGCCTAACCGCTTCTCCTTTTCATGTGGTCTCGAAACTTTACTTGGTCCAGGTCCGTTATTTTGTCATGCTCGATCCCAGACGTATCATTCACACTTCCCGAGTTCCGATACGAGGGATCCTTCGGCCTTGCTTGTAATTGCATCGGACCGTGCTTCCCTTTCATCTCCTTATCGGGAAATCGGGGAAAACATTCTCCCGGTTTTATCCGTACACAAAAGTATTTAAAGGTATGATTTTGCGTCTGATGGTTAGTTTCTATACGTGCTCCTTCCTCGGTTCCTCCTACTTTGCCTTTTCCGTCTTGGCTCATAAATTCTTACTACTTATAACTCCTCAACATAAATCCTCAACAACGTAAAACTTTCACGGTAAACTCGAAAACAATGAACTTCCATGCACAATTATTGCATGGCAAATTTGGGTAATGAGCGTACGATCCCAACTTTCAAGGCATTTGCCCTCACGTGTGATGACATTCGAATTTTCAGCTAATTCGCTTTAATTTCTTGGAGTTGACAAATGGTACTTCCTGTATTTCTTCAATAGGTTAGACAATCCCTTTTTAAAGGAGTAACATTTTTCTGTAATTAAAAAATTTAAAACATTCTAGAATTATGTATATATCTTAAATTATTTTAATGTCCATTATTTAAAATAAACGTAGGTGACAATTTTTGAGAAAGACATAAAATCACAAAGAACAGGTTTTTGTGAGATGTTGATTTGTAAGATTCTCCCTCCGGTCCTAAACAGTTCAATAAAACACTGATAAGTAAGATACTCCCTCCTGTACGATATAAGTGCATTTTCTAAGGGTTTGACATAGAAAGTCACTTAAAAACATTAATAAGATTTCNTATATATAGCGGATAAGTAGGAAAAATGACATTATTTGACACAAATTATCTCTTGACGCATTGGTTATGTGCTTAATTTTGTTTTAAGAAAGTACAAAAATTCCTACGTATATATGCCCAAAAAGGTTATTTGACCAAGGGATCCTTTTTCTCTCCTTTAACCTGTGAATTGAAAAATGCAGGTGTTGAAATACTTCTTAGAAACTTGTTCAATCATTTATTTGACAATGATAATTTTGGAAGAAAATAGTTAATATATATTATAATTTTTTTATTTATAAAAAAGAACTTATTTCAGATCAAATTAAAAAGGCTAGAAAACCATTTCTATGGACCCAAGGGAGTAAAATCTATTTGACCTAAAGGTATAAAATTTAGACTCGTAACTATAAGGTATCAAGTTGTAGTAAAAGAATCTAGGTTATAAGTGAAGTGTTAGTATTTTAGCATTTTAATATTAAAATAAAATATGTCATAACTCTCACTATTCTATAACGTAGAAAGTGGTCATAACTTCCACTACTCCATGATGTAGAAAATGGTCATAACTCTTTTGTGACTCTTCTCTCATGTTTTCCATGATTTCATAACTTACTACTCCACTTTCTTCCAATTTAATTCAAGAAAGAATTTCTACACCTATAAATAGGAGTTTTTCTTCCATAATATGATATGTGAAAAATAATTGAGAGTGTTTTAATAAAGTGAGGTTAAAGTTGTGGAAAAAAAAAAGAGAGTTTTTACTTTTGTTGAAGGAAGGTATTCATCTTGGTGGAGTTTTGGACTCAACAACTTGTCCAGAGTTTGTTCGAGTCATACGACGTGATCGGGTTGTTGTATCCTGAGGGAGACAAGTCAAGAAGATTATTGTTGGACCAGTGAAAACTTTGCTGCAGTGGGCTTGAATCTCCTTAAAGAGAGCGAGATATCCGCACTTAAGCTGGAAGATATTTTATTTTCATCATTTTATTTTTCAACTGTAATTGTATTTTTCACCAACAATTTTAAGGAGATTCAAATGGCTACAGTTGAAAAATCTGCGGATACCAACGTGGGAGATCTCAACAAGCCATTCCGTTTCAATGATACTCATCTCAAGAGATGGAAATTTAAAGTACTTTTTTATTTGAGTTTTCTCAATGTTTCTTACGTTTTAACTGAGAAGAATCCAAGCAAAGTAGACAACTCCTCCATGAATGATGATGAGCTAATTTCCCTTCAAGAAAAAATTGAAAAATATAACGATGATTTATGCAAGTGTCGGTATTATCTTCTTAATTGTCTATCTGATAATTTTTATGATTATTATGGTAGAACTTGCTCTACTGCTAAGAAAATTTGGAAAGCATTGCAGAGTAAGTATGATACCGAGGAGGCAAGTGCGAAAAAATATGTTGCTAGCAGATTTTTTCGTTTTCAAATGGTGGACAACAAATCTGTAGTAGACCAAGCTCAAGACTTCATAATGATCGTTGGAGAGCTCAAGTCCGAGGATATTAAAATTGAAGATGATCTTATTATTTGTGGCATAATAGATAAACTTCCACCTTCATGGAAGGAATTTCAAAAAACTATGTGTCACAAACAAAAGGAAACTTCATTTGAGACGTTGATAATGCGGATTCGCATGGAAGAAGAGGCAAGAGGCCAAGATGCACTTATGCAATCGGAAGAGAGCACTCTACAACTCGTCACTACAAAGGTAAATTTAATTACTTCAAATAATATTACTCATGAAACTCATAAAAATACCTCTTTGAAGTCGAAGAAGAAAACTTTTAAGAAAAATTATGGTAGACCTCCCAAGAAGAATAATGGTGCAAACAACCAAGTACAGAATCAACAAGTTCAAATTGTGAAACCATGCATTGTCAGTGGCAAGAGTGGGCATATTGCTCGATTTTGCAAATTTTGGAAACGTGGTCCTACACTACAGGCAAACGTTACTGAAGAGCCACTTGTGGCGGTGATAACAGACATTAACATGGTAGAAAATGTTGATGGATGGTGGGATGATTCTGGAGAAAACCGTCATTTTTGCTATGATAGAGATTAGTTTAAAGTGTATAATCCATTTGAGGAGCCCAAAACCATCAGGCTTGGTGATTCTCACACAACCCAGTTGCTTGGAAAGGGAGAGGTCGAGTTGAAGTTCACTTCAGGAAGAGTATTAACGTTGAAAGACGCACTTTATACTCCTTCAATGAGAAAAAATTTGATGTCTAGTTTTCTTCTTAACAAGGCAGGCTTCAAACAAATTATTGAGAGTGATCAATATGTAATAGTTAAAAAGGATATTTTTGTGGGTAAGGGGTATGCATGCGATGGGATGTTCAGTTGAATGTTGATATTAATAAAACCTCTTCTAGTTCTGTTTATATGCTTTCTTCTACTAATTTTTGGCATGCTCGTTTGTGTCATATTCATAATCGCTATGTGGGAATCATGAGTAGTTTAGGATTAATCCCAATGATTAAAAAGAATTTTGAAAAAAATGAGGCTTGTAGTAAAGCTAAAATAACTAGAAGGTCTCATTTCCAAGTTGAAAGAAAAACTGATTGTTGGAATTAGTTCACACTGATATTTGTGAACTTGGAGGAATTTTAACTCGTGGAGGAAATAGATATTTTATCACTTTTATTGATGATTTCTCTAAGTAAACCTATGTTTACTTGATGAAAAATAAAAGTGATGCGTTTGAAAATTTTAAAAATTATCTCCATGAGGTTGAAAATCAATTCGGTAGAAAAATAAAAAGAATTAGAAGTGATAGAGGCCGTGAATATGAGTTTAATAAATTTAATTCTTTTGTTAGATCATTGGGAATAATTCATGAAATTACTCTACCTTATTCTCCGGCATCAAATGGTGTGGTTGAAAGAAAAAATAAAACCTTGGTAGAGTTAACTAATGTCATGCTTATTGAGTCAAATGCACCTTTAAATTTGTGGGTGAAGCTATTTTGACTACATGTTATGTGTTGAATACGGTACCTCATAAGGAAATAAAATTGACACCATTTGAGCTGTAGAAAAATCACAAGTCAAATTTGGGTTATTTGAGAGTTTGGGATTGTTTACCCTATGTTAGGCTAACGGATCCTAAAATTATGAAATTGGGTAAAAACGTTATCACTTGTACTTTTCTTGGTTATGCTTCTAATAGTACAGCCTATAGATTTTTAAATCTTGAAGAGAATATAATTATAGAACCAGGTGATGCTAGTTTTCTTGAAAATAAATTTCTATTTGAGTCTAAAAATAATGGGGGTCAAAGAGATAAAGATAATTTTTTGTTTATGTCTAGTTCTTCTAATTCTATTTTAAAAAATAAAGAAAATGATGCTTTTGAGTTAAGAAGGAGTAAAAGAGCTAGAATAGAAAAAGATTTTGATCCTGATTTTTATGTTTTTAATATTGAAAATGACCCTCTTACTTTACAAGAAGCTTTATTATCACCTGATGCTATTTTTTGGAAAGAGGCTGTAAATTATGAAATTGAGTCACTAATTTCTAATAAAACTTGGAAGTTGGTTGATTTACCACCAGGTTGTAAAACAATTGAGTGCAAATGGGTCCTAAGAAAAAAATTAAAATCGGATGGATATGTGGATAAGTATAAAGCTAGGTTAATTGCTAAAGGTTTTAAGCAATTAGAAGGCCTAGAATTTTTTGATACTTTTTCTTCGGTAACTAGAATTACATCCATAAGACATTTAATTGTTGTTGCTGCAATTTTTGATTTGCATATTCATCAAATGGATGTAAAAACTATTTTTTTAAATGGGGACCTAAATGAAGAAATTTATATGGATCAACCTGGGGGTTTTATAGAAGCAGGCACCTAAGCAATGGCATGAAAAGTTTGATTCCTGCATGATTGAAAATGGTTTTAAATCAAATAAGGGTGATAAGTGCATCTATCATAAGTCTTGGAATAAATTCACATGTAATTGTTTGCCTCTATGTTGATGATTTGTTAATATTTGGCTCTAACATGAATGTTATTGGATAAACTAAAAGCATACTTAGTAGCCATTTTGACATGAAAGATTTGGGTGAGGCAAATTTCATTCTTGGAATGAAAATTACTAGAATATGTGATGGAATTTTCCTTGACCAGTCACATTATATTGAGAAAATTTTGAAAAAATATAATTTTATTGATTGCAAGCATGTTGTAAATCCTTTTGATTCAAGTGTTCACTTATTTCTTGTACAAAGTGATAATGATGTGATAAATCAAAAGGAATATGCTAGCTTAATCGGAAGCTTGAGATATGTGACTGATTGTACTCGGCCTAATATTGCATACGCAGTAGGAGTACTTAGCAGGTTTACAAGTAAGTCAGGTAGTGAATATTGGCATGCCATAATAAGAGTTATGAGGTATTTACTTGGTATAAAAACCTATGGCTTATTTTATAAAAAATATCCTGCTCTACTCGAAGGCTTTTCTGATGCAGATTGGAATACTTTATCTGGTGATTCCTGTTCTACTACAGGTTATATTTTTACTTTGGAAGGTGGTGTTATTTGTTGGAAATCGAAAAGGCAAACAATAATTGTTAACTCTACCATGGAGGCTGAGCTAATTGCTTTAGCTTCAGCCAGTGAGGAAGCGAATTGGTTGAGAGATTTATTATTTCAAATTCCTTATTTTGATAAACCAATTCCTCCTATTTTGATTCATTGTGATAGCATTGTTGCAATTGGTAGAGTACAAAACCGTTATTACAACTGTAAATCCCGACATATAAGGAGAAATATAGTACTATGATATCATATTTGACAAGTGGTGCTATTAATGTTGATTATGTTAAAATCTTGTGATAATCTTGCAGATCCACTGACTAAGGCCTTAGCAAAAGAAAAGGTCTGGAGCACATCGAGGGAGATAGGATTGAAGACCACAAGCTCATAAGTCATATATGAGGAAACCCAACATGAGGATTAGAGATCTTATAACCAGGTTCAATGGGAAGAACGAATCATATGATGGCTTGGTTTGAAATGCACTATTTTTTATTGTTCTATCCTTATGATGTGAGTGCATTTATCCTGTAATGATTTGTGAGGTTGAGTTTTATTAACTTTTAATGAAAATATGTAGCTCGTAAGAGTGGAGTGTTAGTGTTACAGGAGCACCCTTGACAGATTTCACCTATGTGAGTGTGGAAGTAGGCCACTTTCTATGAGAATTGGGCTTGTTCTCAAAACCACTCATGAAAACCGGGATAGCACAAGGCCGTAATGTGCTAGCTAATAAAACTCAGGTCAACACCTTGATTATTATGTGTAAGTAGTGATAATTTATTTTCCTAAAGCAGTCATAGTTCATGTCTGAGACCACTACTGACTCTGGAGTAAAGATTGTTGTTTTGCTAAGTGAAGGTTCAATGCAGAGCACACCTTCATTATGCATAATAGTCTCCCTTCAACTGGTAAACTCTCTTATATATTTTAATATTAAAGTGAGTGGGAAAATGTTAGTATTTTAGTATTTTAATATTAAAATAAAATATGTCATAACTCTCACTACTCCATAATATAGAAAATGGTCATAACTCCCACTACTCCATGATGTAGAAAATATCCATAACTCTTTTGTAACTCTTCTCTCATGTTCTCCATGATTTCATAACTTACTACCCCACTTTCTTCCAATTTAATTCAAGCAAGAATTTCTACACCTATAAATAGGAGTCTTTCTTCCATAATGTGGTATGTGAAAAATAATTGAGAATGTTTCAATAAAGTAAGGTTAAATTGTGGAAAAAAAAGAGAGTTTTTACTTTTGTTGAAGGAAGGTGTTCATCTTGGTGGAGCTTTGGACTCAACAACTTGTCCATAGTTTGTTCGAGTCATACGACGTGATCGGGCTGTTGTATCTTAGGGGAGACAAGTCAAGAAGATTATTGCTGGACTAGTAAAGACTTTGCTGTAGTGAGCTAGAATCTCCTTAAAGAGAGCGAGATATCCGCACCTCAGCCTTAAGATATTTTATTTTCTTCATTTTATTTTTCAACTGTAATTGTATTTTCACCAACATGAAGTTTAAGGGAAGTAAAAAGACAGAATAAGATATAAGTTTCAATATATGCACTTCTGCTCGAACTATATTAAGATTTTTTCAAAAAAAAATTGAAAGGAAAGTTTTCATGTTTTTCTCTTTGTCTTATACCTCGCTTTAATTTTGACACCTAAAAATATTGTCAATGCACAAACAAGTTTGGCGTCATATAATAATTAGTGAGTATTTTTGATATTCCAATATTCTGTGACAATTATTATTCTTCTGTTAATTTCAATGGTATTTATTAAGGAGCTACAGCCATGGCAGATGAAGATTCTAGAATAAGGAAAAGAGATGAAGAAGAAAGCTCTGTAATTACACAACTGAGAAAAAGAAAATGATAATTGTGTGTAGTGTAACTAAGCGACTATCTATTTATACTATCACTAATTAACAGCTAAGTGTAGTTATAACTAATAACATTTAACTATTAAATAAGTGGGACCCACTATACTCAACACTCCCCCTCAAGCTGAAGGATGAAATAGATCTTTCATTCCCAGCTTGTCTAGTAGATATTCGTGTTATGGCTTGCATAGACTCTTAGTTAACAGATCTTCCAACTGCTCAGTTGTTCTGACATATTGAGTTTTAATCAGGCCTTGAACCAGTTTCTCCCTCACAAAATGACAATCAATGTCAATATGTTTGGTTCATTCATGAAAGACAGGGTGAGCTGCAATTTGTATTGCAGCCTTACTGTTATAATGCAATTGTATAGGCTGAACTATTTCAACTCTCAGCTCCCTAAAAAGTCTTGTTATCCACACCACCTCTACTACAGTAGATATCATACTTCTAAATTCAGCTTTAGCAGCTCCTGGATACAGTTCCCTGTTTTTTTATTAATGAACCACAAAGGCAATATCTGGCTTTGTCATGATTATGTACAACAACCTTCCAACTAGTATCTAATAGCTTCCCTTGTCTTCAAGTTCTCTATCATCTGTAGATCCAGCTTCTGTTATTTGCTTGTCATACTCAATGGATGTGAGCTTGTGATTGAACTCCAGAGGTGTTGCTGCTGGCTTTGCACCTGCTAGCCCTAGTTTAGAGACTAGTTCCAGAGCATACTTCCTTTGGCACATAACAATTCCTTCCTGGTATCTAGAGAACTCAATTCCTAGAAAATATTTTTGTTTACCAAGATCTTTCATTTTGAACCTATCTTGCAAATCCTTCCTGACTTGTTGGATTAGACTTAGACTCCTCCCAGTCACTAGAAGGTCATCCACATAGACAAGGATAACTA